ATTGTATATTTCCGTTTTTTCTCTTTTTTTTTTTTTTTTTGAGAAAACAAAAGGCTCTCTAAACTCTTAAAATAATTATAGAAAGGCACAAAATAATAATTAAGGGACGTTGAATTGTGTATTAAAAAAAATTAGTCGACGACAATTTTCAGCAAAAATTACTCAAATAATCCTCAAAATAATTCCAAAAAGAAGAGAAAAAAAAAAAACCTCACTTAAAGACAAACGAAAAGTAAGGAATAAAGATTAAAGACACAAACGAGAAGAAAAGTAAGGAATCTAGGAGCTAACCTACCATTGTGGCTCTCGAAACACAGAAAGAGATCTCCTGTTGGCTGTTGCATCTTCCTCTAAAAAATTATTTATTTTAATAATTTTTGACTTTAACACTTGAGTCCCCATGTTAAAATTTTAACTCAAACACCCATTTCTTGGTAATTGGATCCTGTTTTTAAAATTGGAAACTGAGTCTCAATTTTTTTTTTTTCTTGCCAATAGGTAGTCCCCGTGCGTTTTCTTCCATTAAATGATATTAGAGCACATAATTTAGAGGCTTTCTTGCACCTCAAGTTCCCAAATTGAGACTTCATTTTTATGATTTATTATAAAGAGAAATGCTAGCGTCACTTTTTCTATCATTTTTTTTTGTTATTATTTTCATTCATTATTTGTCACGTGAATTTTACTACCATACTATATTATTATTTAAAAACAGCGCTAAACAAGTTCTTTATTTCTTTTTTTCTACTGACATAAAAAAAAAATCTCTGCCGTTGGGGCCATAATATTTTTATCGAAGTGCAGATCGATGTTGGATAAAAACTTCCCTTACAATAATATTAATAATCAATCAATAATAAAAATCTGCTAAATCACAAAATAGGGTCAAATTCCATTCTTTTTTTATGGAAAAATTCCATTCCATTTTAATAGCGGAAAAAAGCATCTCGAGAGATTTGTTTACTTTTGGCCCTGACACTAGCCAAGGACCTTGACCTAGGTACAACATTGATTTTCACGGGCATGTACAACATTTAAGTGGCACCATATACGGCGTCCCGATGCCGGTCCAACCGATGAAGTGCATCGTGGCCGTGGCGCTGGCGAATGGGTCAGATTTTGGGGTACCGGAGATCATGGTGGCGGCCGGAATCTGCACTGGTGGGGTCATGTTGCTTTTGGGTGTCACAGGTTTGATGCGGCTATTATATAAGCTAGTCCCTTTTTCTGTCGTTTCCGGGGTTCAGCTTGCGCAAGGCTTGTCGTTTGCAATGACTGCTTTGAATTATGTAGAGAAAATTCAGGATTTTCGAAAGCCTGAGTCTAATAATTGGGAGTATAGCCATTGGCTTGGTTTGGATGGGTTGGTTTTGGCTATTACTTGTGCTTGTGTTATAATTATTGTTGATGGTGTGGGTCAAGAAGTAGCAGAAGTACATCAAAAAATTAGTGAGAGAAATAAAAATCATGACCATGCCATTAATGAGAATGACCCTGACAAAGAAATAAAACTTTGTGAAAAAATAAGCGCTACCCTTGGAAAATTTATGGCTTTGATTCCAATAGCTTTAATTATATTCATTTTAGGCTTTGTTTTGGCCTTTAAAAGGAGGCCTAAAGTTGTGACAATTTGGACTGTCATCTATTAAAGTAGTGAAATTTTCTAGGCAAGCATGGAAGGAAGGTTTCATGAAGGGTACAATCCCACAACTTCCTTTAACAATCCTCAATTCAGTGATCTCCGTATGCAATTTGTCGTCGGACCTCTTCCCCGGTAAGGATTTCTCCGCAGGTTTAGTATCGATGACGTCATCGGGTGTTGGTTCAGGGCTGTGCCATGCTGCCATGGGGCAGGTGGGCTAGCCGGGCACTACAAGTTTGGTGGGAGTGGTGGGTGTGTGGCCCTTCTTGGTGCAGCCGAATTGGTGTTGGGTTTGGTTTTAGGGACCTCATTGGTTTAAGATTTTAAGCCAATTCCCAGTTGGGTTTCTTGGGGTTATGTTGTTCGCCATGGCCTCTAGGAAACTTGGCTCTGTGGAAGATTGCTTTGTGTCTTTGTGATGCTCATTTCTACAGTGGTTTCTCTTGTGGGGTCAGACGCTGTGCTTGGATTCTTTTGTGGGATTTTTGTGCATTTTCTTCTCAAGGTGAGAAGTTTGCAATGACTAATGAAAAACCTCAATAATATTCTCTGTCCTGCTATGCGGGTTTGTGGAACCACTAAGCAAAATGTACTTCCAGGTGAAAAAAAAAATGTTTATTGTGTGTATGGACTTGTCTTGTAATGGGTTTGAAATGCATGCTTAGTTTGTTGTTTCCAGTTTAATTCAATTACTCCTTGTAATTTCTGCCATGTTACAAGCAGTTTCGTGTCGCTTTAGAAGTCAAATGGCTTTTCAAACAAGGAAAAAAAAAAACTAGGATATAAGTGGTGCATTTGATATTAGCAATATAGAGGCAAATTACCTTTTTTAAGGTTTTTTTTATAAAAAATAGCCGAAATTTTTTAAGTTAACAAAATGGTCATTTATTTTATTAATACTGGTTAACTCGATAATATTTCATTATTAATTAATATTAGTTAATACTTAACTTAAATCAATTAATATTAATTTATTAATTTTAATCAACAAATCATATGTGTATTAATCATTAGTAAATTATAAATAATGAATCCTGATTGACTACCGTAAAAAACGGCCATTTTACTAAAATAAATAAAAATTTGGCCATTCGCTTAAAAAATAAAAGTTTGACCATTAATTAAAAGAGGTAGTCAAAAACAGTCGTTTACCTGATTTTCCGCGGATGATGTAGGGGGATGGAATGGGACAATAAACAAGTTCACAGGCCACCAATGTTACTATACTTTATATTTTTTTCCACTTTTGCAGCCAAAAAAAAAAATCCAAACTCGACGAGAGCTCTAAACTGTATGGTAATGTAGAGCTTTTATTCCTTCTTCCTCAAAACCTTTTCGAATTACAACGTTTTGGTTTTCCAATGGCTACTCTTCAGAGTTCTCTGCATCTTCCTTCTACCCCTCCATTCACCGACCACTCTTCATTTCGCCACCCCAATTCCAATGGTTTTCGCATTCGCAAACTCAATATTCTTTCTTCCAATATCACAACCGGAGGTTTCACTATCAACTCGGACTCAAACCAGAAGAACCCACGAGCCCAAGTTTCTCTCAGCCCCGAAAAGACTAGAAATTTTAGCTTTTATACAAGTACTCAAAGCATTTTCGAGGTTGGTCACTGCCTTTCTCTGTTAAACAGTGATTACGTTTGTGATTGTAGGCAAATACATGCTTTTGCTGTGAAGTTGAATGCTTTTGAAGTGGATAGTTTGATTGGAAACAAGTTAGCCGTTTTGTATTTGAAGAAAATGGAGTCTTTGGAAAGTGCACGTAAGATGTTTGATGAAATTCCGAAGAGAACTAGACCCGGTTATGCTGCATTGATAAGCGCATATTGTCGGTTGGAGCGATGGGAAGACATGTTTTTGTTACTGGGGTTGATGGTTGATGAAGGGGTTTTGCCTGATAAATATATAGTACCTACTGTTCTTAAAGCCTGTTCAGCATTGAAGATGACAAAGGATGGTAAAATGCTTCATGGGTATGTTGTGAGGAAGGGTTTGGATTTGGATATTTTTGTTGGGAATTCGCTTATCAATTTGTATGCAAATTGTGAGGATTTGAGATATTCGAGAAGTGTTTTTGATGGAATGAGAGAAAAAGATGTGGTATCATGGACTAGCCTCGTTTCGGGTTACATGGAAGCAGGGCTCTTAGATGAGGCAGATGAAGTTTTTCGTTCTATGCAGTTGAATGGGATCAAGCCTGACTTGATCTCTTGGAATGCACTTGTATCTGGGTTCGCACGGAATAGAGAGATTGATTTGGCTCTCAAATCTTTGGAAGCAATGCAAGAGAAAGGGGTGAAACCGAGGGTTAACTCATGGAACGGAATTATCTCAGGTTGTGTCCAAAACAAGTATTTTGAAGATGCTTTGGATGCATTCAGAAACATGTTGCAGTTTCCTGAATATCCAAATTCCGTTACTATTGCAAGCATTTTACCGGCTTGTGCAGGGTTAAAAAGTCTGAACTTGGGAAGGGCAATTCATGGATTTTCGGTTAGACATGAGCTTTGTGGAAATGTTCATGTGGAGGGTTCACTAATTGATATGTACTCAAAATGTGGGAGGAACAACTATGCAGAGAAAGTTTTTGTTAAGGCAGCAAACAAAAACACTGCCATGTGGAATGAGATGATCGCAGCATTTGTAAACAAGGGGGAAATGACAAAGGCGTTGGAGCTTCTCAGATTGATGCAAAATGACGGGCCAAAACCCGATATCATATCGTTTAATACAATGTTTGCTGGTCATGCAAGAAATGGGCAAAAAGACGAGGCATATGAATTGTTCTTTGAGATGGTCCAGATGGATATAAAGCCAAATACTGTTACCTTTAATACTTTGATTTCTGGATTTCAACAATCTGGGCTTAGTTATGAAGCTCTGAAGTTATTCCAGACTATGCAGTCTCCTTCCAGTGTTAGCTTCCTCAACAACGTACTAACTGAGTCTACTCGACCAAACTCTACTACAACCACCAGTGCTCTTGCAGCTTGTGCTGACCTAAATTTAAAACGTCAAGGAAAAGAAATCCATGGATTCACATTGAGGATTGGGTTTGAGCGCAACATCTATGTCTCGAGTGCATTGGTTCACATGTATTCAAAGTGTCATGATACTCTTTCAGCTACTAAAGTTTTCAGGAGAATAGAGGATAGAAACACAATTTGTTGGAACGCTTTGATTGCCGGGCACATCAACAACATGCAGCCCGAGTTTGCTCTCAAGCTTTTTCGTGAAATGCTGAGTGATGTTGAACCAAGCTCGATTACACTTAGGATAGTTCTCCTTGCTTGTGGTGATATGGCAGCTTTGAGAAGTGGAAGAGAACTACATGGCTATGTCTTAAAGAGTCAAGTTGAAAAAACTGACAATAATCTTGCCACTGCCCTGCTTGGCATGTATGCAAAGTGTGGTAGTATCATTGAGGCCAAATCAGTTTTTAACTCTGAAACTGAAGAAGATGTTGCTCTCTGGAATTCCACGATTTCTGCTCCTTCGGTTTATGGAATTATCAAGAATGAAGTTTCTTTGTTTGAACAACTTTGAGTTCGCAGGAATTCTACCTCACCATTAACCTTGGTTGACCTTTTATTTTTTCACTTGTGATGGTCTAATGGAAGAGTGGATATACAATCATGGAGGACAAGTTTTTGGGATTCTCTGATGATTTGAACATTAAAACGAGCTGGTTTACGAAAAGTGTAAACTCCATTAGATGAAATGCGCTACATACGTCATGCTTTTGTTTGTTCTACTTTCTACAACCATGCATCGTTCACTGGAGTCCAGACCTGAAAGAAACTGATGCAGAAGCTCTTACTTGACTCGAAAGAAATCTTGTATTGACTAAAGAACAGCATACTGATCACAATAGAGAAGCGTAATGATTTGTATTCTACTTTTCTTTAACATTAGAACAGTAGTACCCATGTGTATTTCCATTGAAATTTTGATTTTTTTCATTTGATACCAGGTTTTAGAATCCACTTATAGTTACTCGGCTTGAAAATTTTGCTAGAAATTTCTGTTCTCAAGTATTTGCGTCCAGTCTAATCTCCATTTCTGTTGTGTTTGAAACAAAAATAGTACGACGGGGATTGCTTTCATCGGGAAAGAAATTTAGTGATAATGACATTGCATAAAGTTAAACTGTTAAGACAGCAGCATTATCCCTTTTAGAAGTGACACCCAAGAAGGATTGAAGTTACCTTTTGACATGTGTTTTTATCCATCCAAACACATAAAGAGATATCAAGCACCATATCTTGTTTCACATTTATTTCATTCTTATTTCGTTACTATATTTTTATTTTCCCTGAGAAAAGGAGGGAAGGAAAAAAAAAAGTTACAACTTAGACAAAAGTATATATGATATGTTGAGAACAAAGCATGAGCTCAGTAGTTGTCCTCTTAACAGAGAAACTAGAGATGGTGCTACTTCTTAAGCGCGGAACTAGTGATGACGCGGGTCAGGACCACCGGGACACTGTCGTTGGGGCTTGAAATGCATTCCAACTTGTCTCTTAACACTATCCTTCAACACTTGTTTGACATTCTCCATCATCACCTTGTGTTTAGCCTTGTTCAAGAATGGTATTGAGCCGAGAGATGACCGAGTCTCGTGGCAAGGAAACGAGACCAAAACCAGAAGAAGACACAGCAAGAGTTTTGGGCAACACATTGTATAAAAATCTCACCGAGCTTTTACAATGGCGTCTCTCAAAACCAGCTCAATTTGGAGACTTAGACCAACTAGTTTCGGGTATATATAGACGCCAAGAATCTCTATTCTTGGCTTGCTTTGCTATTACTTGGTATAAAAGTACCAAAGTAAAATGTGTGATAGTGACAAATACGTATATCCATGTTCACCATGTATATCCATTTTATAATAGAGGCAAGTGTGGCTATTAATTATGAACAAATTCGGCATGAGCCTTTCCGCCTAATTATGTTGCATTCGAAACCTAAAAGTTAAAAACAGCATTTTGGAATTTATGTAATTTTTATTTTTTTGGTGGAAATGATTCATTGACAATAGGGCCAGTATTTAGTGACCTTCACATTAACTTCTATACGCTCTAGCTAAGCTATATTTAGGCGGCTTAGTGCTGCCAAGTGCCAAGCAATCCCCCCCTCTTAAAATTTTCTGTTCATTTACATCCAATCTTTATCCTTTTGGGTTTTGCTTTTCTCTCTTTTCTACGTTTTAAGTGGGACATATAGACAAACTATGTCGTTTGCCAAAAGGACAACAAAAATACCAAAACTATGCAATTTAAAACCCGCACGTACCTAATTTCTATCGTCAATGAATGGTTTCATTAGACAGAATGATGGCTTTAATATTGCTGAAAACAATGCATCCAAGTTGTCTGATGGACATGCAAAATCATGCCTCACAACGACAATGGGATGCAGATGAAATCGACCATTGGGCGTATAACAGTTTTAATTGAATCAAAATTGTCTCTTACGTGTTTGCGAGTTGATATGGAAATTTAACTTGCACTTTTAGGGAGATTCATCTCTTTTAGCCACATGAGAAAGGTCTTCATATCAACTTGATCCACTGAGATTTTCATCACATTGACATACACAGAATAGAGATATCAATTCGGATAAATTACGGTCCCGTTCACTTCACCAATTCGAGTTTAGAATTCGAGTTTTGCTACAGTAAAAAGCTCTCACAAACAATCACATCTAACTTTTTTGCTACAGTAAAAAGCTCTCATATAAAATCACATCTCAACTCGAATTACAAACTCAAATCAGCAAAGTGAACGGGACACGTTCTCACCTCGAACTATAAGCCTTGTCATAAAATGCCTTTTTAACTTTAATTTTAATTTTTTTCCCCCCTAACTTCAGCAACTCTTACAAATTGTCTCCCTATATTAAATTCTTAATTTTGTTATTGTTGTTGGCGGCCATTGATGAACTTTAAGGTTCCTTAGGTCAAATAAATTAAAAGAATGTTGGTGTAGATTAAAAAAAAAGAGGCGTAATTGTACTTCTATGAGACTAAACAAGAAAGAACTGACAGAGCAATTGTATACTTAAAACGGTTCAACGACACTCATTATTTATGTGATACGTGTTTGTTACAATTCTTAATATAAGGAGTTCTTTTTAAAAAATTTTACATTTTACGAGACATTTTCCAACAAAAATTTAATTGAGGGGGAAAATTTGCAAGAGTTGTTCGAATTGGAAGGAAAAAAGCTAAAATTAAAATTTAATAGACATTATATGACAAAACCTATAATTCAGAGGGAAAACGTTTAATTTGTCCTATCAATTATTATCAGGAAAGGTCTTATCTGCGTGAGAAAGTTCTTATGAACTGTCTACATGGTTGCAAGTTGATAAATATCATGAATTACTGTATTTTTGTAAAGAACCAATCAGTCAAACACATGAATGCTCTCAAAGTCACACGAGTCTCTGCCTTCCTTTTGAAACGAATTATACCTTATATCACCAATATGTTCAAATGAACCTCATTGTAAAGCTCCAACAACAATTGGGGATGGCATTAGCCTGACCGAAAGGAGAACAAAATTACCCCACAACAACAAAACGTCATTCATGGAGCCAGATTATACCAGATTGGCTGATGGAAGATATTTGCTCCGGCATTACATTGATCTTGCGCAAAAAATACTAATTGTTCATCTATTCCGGCACTGCTGCAGTCGTCCCTGATGATGCAGGGGCTACTGAGCTTGCGTTTCTGCCAGGCCCCGAAGAGACTTTTACCATTGATGGTCTTATAAGCCGATCACCAAGTATGAAGCCGCGGCGAAATTCCTCAATTATAATCCCTTCCTCGAACTCTTGAGACTCCTCGCGTGCGATGGCCTCGTGTAGCTGCGGCAAATAATAATGAAAACCTTAGAATATGGCACAGGAAGATTTATTAAGTTTCATTTCAATTTATCATGATAAGATTTTTATGCTAACTAGGCAAACCTCAATTACTTGACATGTTAGTCATCTTTTAGGAGTGTGGTTTACATAACACCCTTTTGAGGAAGTTAGAATTGGCACAAGCCTCTGCCTCAAATATTCTCAATCTTAATCTTGCTCAATCCTAACCAAAGTTTGCGATGGGGACAGTTTGAGGTGGGCCCCGTCATCAATTTATTAGATTAAGTCTTTCCTCCGGTTTCATTGCCTCATAGGGAGGATAAACCTTATTATTATAATTTTTTTATACCAAAAATCCTCTAAACCCACTTTGTGAGCCCAAGTTAGAAACTGGAGCCCTCCCCCAAACCCTACAATCTTTGGGAAGGCTGTTATTAACTGCATTATAGACGTTACACAGGAAATTTAGCCTAATACAGAAAATGTATCACTCTACAATCAAATTCATACACAAACACTTCGATTCAAATAAAATCATAAATCTCAATTACATAGGACAGCGGTAAATATTCAAACAGGACACAAAAATAATATCATAAAATTTTAAGGCATCCCATTAATTTGATGTTCAAGATGCTGCTGTAGCATGCCAACATCCACTACCAACATGGCTTTACATTCTAATTTACTATCTCATCTCTACTCTAATCCTAATTTAGGGAGCACCAAACTACTTGGGAAGGGAAGGTTCCAACATTTTCACCTCATGCTCATCAAGATTCCAGCATATCAATGATATCATGAGTGAATTTAAATAAGCAATGAAGCGGAGCAGAGTTTATAAAGAGAGAAGCTCAACCAATATTGCATTCACATAGTACATAAAACTAAATTACTTCTTAAATCATATACTTACCGAAGGATCAAAAGGCTTCCCTACTGTTGGCACAACAGCAACACGCAAGCTCCTCAGTATCTCCACAAATTGCTTGTAAATACCCTGATAACTGGCATCAATCTGTTTCTCCTTTTCTGTTTCGGGTTTAATTTGTTGTTTGGCTCTCTCAAAATTGTCCACCATGGGCAAAAGACTCTCAATCACTTCTCCTTGAGCGTCAGACCTAACAGAAAGCCTTTCCTTTTCCGATCGTTTCCTAAAATTATCAAAATCTGCTTGTAAGCGGACATATTTCTCCTTCCCAGACTTGATTTCTTCCGTTAAAGTTGACACTTTCTCAACTAATTTATCCTGGTCATTTCCAATTACGTCTATCCTAGCCTCAATGTCAAATACAGTTTGTTCATCTCCATCAAGTATAGCCTCCTTGTAAAGATTAAAAAGGTTCTTCAAACTCAATCCACTACTTTCTAATGTGTCTGTACTCGGACTACTTTCTTTTTCATCACCTTCCTGGATTGAAAAACGATAACAAAAATAAGAGATGCTGATCTTATTTTTAAAATCAACAACAAAGTGTCTAGCAAATTAATAAAACACGAAAAAACACTTGCACTTTCAATTCAAAACCATTAATGAAAGCAAAATCTGCCTATTGCCAAAACGCTATGACGTTAGCCATAAGCACAGATTCTGAAATAATATTTGGACATTCACATCGATACACTAAATACCATAAAAAATAATGGAGAAAAAATAAGCAAAAAGACTGAACATTCAAATCATAAATTACCACTTGAAATTTAGTAATATTACACCATAGCAAGTCGATGTTTACAAATGCATCAAAGCAGAAAATCTGAAGCACAAATCCGAGAAACACTAAAACTGTTTCATTCTCACTATATTCATTGCCGGCCTTAGTTTACTTGTCCACAATATCTTAGCCTCCTAATCGAGTTTATATTTCTTAGATTAATTTCACCTATTCAACTGAGATAGCATTAACAAAACCATGATTCAGCACATAAAATGCCTAAGATTTTCATTAGATGCTTATCCAGAAATTTCCCTCTCCCATGCCTAGATTCACTTGAACAAACATCAAACACCACCAAGGATTCAGCTTAATCCTGATTAGAATATTAATTAAGAGTTCTTCCAAGTTCAATCCAAATTCAGCTAACACACGAGAATAAGAAAATAATTCATCCAATAAAGAGGGAAAGGTGGGGAAAGCGTACAGCGGAAGCGGCGAAGCGCGTTGTGCTGGTCTTAGGGGCTGCGAAAGAGCTGGTGCGAGGAAACCCTAGAGCCGGATTGCGTAGGTGAGCTCGGGAGTGAAAATGGCGAGAACTAGGGAAACAAAGAGCTAGGGATTTGGAGGGCTTAGTTGTTGTTGGCTTTGAGGAGGTCAGAGAAACGGAAGGGCGAAGAGGAGCGAGTACGGAGTGATTCGGGAGAGAAATCGCCATTGAAATAATTTCTTCTTAATCTCTTTGTGTTTCGTTGTGTAAGCCTAAAACCCTATCTCGGACAAGTGGAAGGAAATGGCTGTTGTTTTGTCGGGCTTTTGTGTTGGTCAGTCCAGAACGAAAATAGAGTTATGTCCATTTATAGGGGATGTTTACCAGACCCAACTAGAACGTTGACGGCTATTCCAAAAACATGATAATAAATTATGGGAATATTAGTTCTACTCCATATTCATACAATCTTCAAATCTTGGTTATTCTCACAAATCACTCCTAAATTTTACCTTTAATTTCACTTTAGTTTTCATTTTTAAAACGTCTCACACTTAATTCTTAATACTATGTTTAGTAAAAAGGATGAAAAATAAAAAGGAATGATAAGTAAAATATCTAGATGAAGGAAGTAAAATTGTAGAAAAAGATTTTCTTTCATATTGTTTGGTAAAAGAAAAAAAAATATCAAATCTAAATTATTTTACAATAATACATTTATACAGATAAAATTATATGGTGAATAGTTTGAGCTTATAATAGTTATTTTACAACCACTTTGGTTGTTAAATTTTTTCCCACCTACTTTCCACCCAAAGTTGGAATGAATGAAAAATAGTGGGCCTCATGGACTTACAACTTTGTTCTTTTTATGGCCCGTTCGGTTCGTTAATTCGAATTTTTAATTCAAGTTGAGATGTGATGTTGTGTGAGGGTTTTTTACTGTAGCAAAAAAGTTAGATGTGACTGTTTCTGAGAGCTTTTTACTGTAGTAGAACTCGAATTCTAAACTCGAATCAGCGAAAAGAACGGAACCTTTCTACCAAATAACCTAAAATTCCATTTTACTCTCCAAAATTCTTCCTTCAATTTCTTTCCTCTCTCTTTTCCACTCTACCAAACATAGTGTAAAGTTTTATTTTATTTTAAATTTCATTTTAGTCCCCACTTTTACAACATCTCATAATTAGTCTTTAAAGTTTTAAATTGTTTCAGTTTTAATTTTCTGTTAGCTATGTGTTAAATATTTGACGAAATCATTTTTTCCTTTCAAATTTAAGCCTTATTCTTTTCACAACTCAAGTCTCTCAAAAGATTCAAATTTAATTATTTTAATACAGCGTTTTTCTCACATACACAAAAAAAATTCTCAATTTGAATAGTGAAACAAACATACCCTTAATTTTTATTTGATCTCGTATTATGGCTCAAAGAAGTAAAAGTGGCATGTTTTTGCAATTAACTGCACCAACCCTTCAACACTTGAAGGTTGTACTCGATTCTTCTTTCTTCTTCAACGTATTATTATCTCTCGTTTCAAAATTCCCTTTTTTTTCCTTATTTATGTGATAAAGTTCAGTCGAATAATTTTACTTGCAATTTAGAATGATGGTTAACGCCCCTCCAAGCACCTCTTTTTTAGCAGATGCCCAAAAAGGAGAAAAAAAAAAGTCATCTAATAGCTATTTCTACCCTCTCCAAACCAAATTATCGACAAGATCATCCAAGTACACTCCTGATGTGTACAAGCGAATCGAAGAATATACGCAAAGAACCCCAAGATGTCGAGATAATAATATTTCTTCTAACACCACCACCACCACCAGAAATGCAACACCAATAAAAAGGAAAGAAAAACGGGAGAACAGGTACCAGATAAAAGAAACTTGACTAAAATAGCAAACTCCACTTTAACAGAATCATTAATAAAGAAGTAACACCCAAAGGAAAAAACACAAAGACGATGGCCAAACCAAACACTGGACCGACTAGAGTGACCTTTATAGAGCAAAACCCAAGTACTAGACCAAGACCTCGCCCTTTATTTCGAGACATCAAACACCCACTGTATAAACTGCACGCAAACGACGACACTGAAAGACGCGAAAGTAAAACGACAATTCTAGAAACGCCAGCAACTGCATCAAGAATCACTCCTCCTCAGATTCAGACTCGGCGCTCTGGAGCCACTCCACGAAGGGCTTGACGTTCTTCCAGATTTGGGAGCTTTCGTTGTCACCAACCAAACCCTTCTCATACCACTCTAGTATGAATTCCTCCTCCAAAACGTCACCGTCGTAGAGGGCCTTCAGAACCAAAGCCACCTCCTTCAGAGCATCAGGGTTGGCCTTTCCACAGAAGGATTCAATAGCATGTAACAGCACCGTCTGAGACAGAGATCCGCCCTCCTGAATGGCGGCTGCTAGATAATTCTTCTTTTTTGTCACCTCTTTTGCAAATCCCTTTCCAACACCTTCGAAAAGAGCTTCGAGTAGGGCATCCATGACTTCCTGGGGTGTTCCTGAGAGCGAGGCCAAAAAAGATTGGAGCTGGCTTAAAGATGAGCCCTTCTTCAGGTATTCCTTTATCTCCTTGGCCAGCTTTCTTTTGGTGGTATTGCCAACACTGCCGTTCTCATTTCCGTTCTTAGGTTTCTTTTCACGCTCTGGAGACTTTTTCACTGACTTTTGCTTTTCTTCAGTTGTAGATAGCATGACCATGTCGGCAGTAACAGCACTCAGCTGCTCCTGAATACGTTGTTTAGCTGCCTCCAAGGATGTGTCTGTCTGCCACTGCACGTCATCATCGTCGTCGTCACCAGCAGCGGCGTGATCATTCTCATCAGCCTGGCTGTGCGTAGGGGAGTGATCCTCATCTGAACCATTGTTTTTCTTCTTGCTTGATGATTTAGAACTCCCAGAAGTGCCTTTCTTCTTTCCTGCCTCCTTCTTAAGCTTCTTCAGCTCCTCATCAGCAGCTTCACCCTCCTTCAGCCTCTCCTTTTCAGCTCTCCTCATAGCCTTCTTGTCCTTGGATGACTTCTTCTGCTCTGGAGGATTCTTAAGAATAAAGGTTGTAAGCTTGTCCCTCATGTCCACATCCGAAACAAACCCACAAGCTGCACATTTGAGGGTAATCATTTGTGTCTTCGTAATAATGATCTCAGTTTCAGGGTTCCCACAGCCATAGCACTGGACATATTTCTTTATGAAGTTCTCAAGAAGTCCAGCAAGTTTTGCAGTTTCATGGGCCCCATTCACGAGAGAGGTCCCAGTCTTTTCATCAAACTTGGATTGGGCCCCAAGCTCGCAGCCAAAGTACTTAGTGGTGTAGGAGGGAAGTCTAGCCAAGGCCTTAGCAATCTCCACATTGTTAACAATGTTAGTCTTGATGCCATTTCCCCTGCCTTCGATCTTAGTAATCATTTTTGGCATCTTATACCTATAGAAGGCATCATCACGGTTTGAAGCACCAATATTCTGCAGAGCCATCTTGTCAAAGTTATGGACGTAATCAGAAGGGGCACAATTGAACAGTGGGGCCTACGGGGACTAGGGATCTTTTTTTCAGAGACAAGTTACTCGCAACTGGAAAGGGCCGCATAAACAGATAACCAAGGAAGTGAGTCTTACAGCCCTCTATTAACCCAAGATGCATGCAGCCAACCTTATCGGCAGTACTTCCGTCCTTTTTCCTGGACGTCGGACAATACTCTCCAAGCAATCCAATTGATGACAAAAAGTGAGTGACCCGCTCAGACATAAAAGAAGGTTCAAACTTGACTTCCTCCACTTTTGCGAACTGCTAATAAAGCAGACTTAACTGCCAACTTCCTGCAAGAAGCTAAATTACTTTCAGAACCCAATCGACGCATAAAAGTAAAAAGTCTATACATATCAAAAACACAATAATCCATCAAACAATCATGGCCTGGAACTGAAAATAATTGCTCGTCCTAAACCCACCCAAATTTTTCTAAAACCCGGATGCACATCATTAGAAATCACAGGGCCAAACAAACATACATATGTAAGGAGATAATGCCATTTTTAACCACTAAAACAAACAAATCATTTAAACCTAAAATTTCAAGTTGACAATGAAAAACACGCAATCGACAAGCAAACACAGGATCAAGCAAACACACATATGAAAAGACATAATACCATCTCTTAGCCCCCGAAACATACAAATCATTTAAACCTAAATCTCAAATTGACAGTGAGAAATACCGCAATCAACATATGCCACATATCCAAACTTCACAATCCATCCAGTACATAAAAATTAATCATTTAACATTCATTGTAATATTAGGTACAATGCATATTTGCTAATTAAGCAGTACCTATTAACTACTTGCTTAGATCTTCTTAGACCGAATATATGCAAGCCACTTAAGATTCAAAACCAATTATTGACTATGATTGTGAACATCAAAATTTATAAACCAAGAAAAAAAAATTAAATCCAAGCATTAATCACAACACATACAAAGCCGATAAAGCGTATACAACAAATTCACTTTTCCAGGTGCGATGATTATTCAACGAAAATATAAAATAATAACATCATCAGAATCAAAGAAAAAATTAAAAAATCAAAGCAAAAAAATAAAAATCGCTTGAATATTTTAGGATTAAACAGTTCGACTGAAATAAAAAAACCAAAATCAACCAAAAAGATTCCGATTCCCGGCTCAAGACCAGTCAAAAACCTCTCAAAAACAATCAACAACAAAAACAAATAAACATTCCTCAGATCTATAAACTCTGCACCAAGAAAATCACAAAATCAACCGCGCAAACACATAATTTTCGCTCCGATCCAAAAAAAAAAAACAAAGAGGAACAATCTAGAAGAAGAAAAGCAACCGCAGAATAATCCGAGAAAAATCGATGAATCAAGAAGATTTTACCTCGAGAAAAGATGGAAAATCGTCGACGAAAAAAGGAGGAGACCGAGAAAAAAAAAAAAAAAAACCCGGGGCTCTGGTTAGGTTTGGGGTGGTTTGGGTGTGTTTGTGTGTGAATATGAAAAGGTTTGTGGAGACGGGAAAAGAAACACGCAATTTATATGCGCCGATTGGTGAGAAACAAGGCTGCCAAAAAGGCTCTTATAAGGAACCCTACGCGTCACGGGTGAGGTGGGTGTTAGGGCAAACTCACTCCTCAATTTTCTTCTACCGACCTACTGTTCTTTTTGCCCTTCGTTATCCCAATATTTACATATCTTGCCCCTCCAATCATACTCGAACGTTTTCTCTTTTTTTTCTTTTTTTCTTTTCGTTTTCCTTTTTAGGAAAAGAATTTTAAAAAATTACGGAATTCTTTAGGCGGAACAATTCCTCATAAATCCTTTCAAAAAAAAAAAAACAGAGAGTTACTCATAAATTTTATGTGTATTCTGTAGATAAAAACGAAAAACCTATTTATTAGGATCTTACTAGAGAAAAAAAAAAGAGGAGAACGGAAAAAAACTATCTTACGATATGTTTTGTCTGGATAGAAGATTTAAAAATATTTAGGGCCGGTTTAGTTCACTGATTCGAATTTTTAATTCGAGTTGAAATGTAATTTTATGTGAGAACTTTTTACTGTAATAAAAAAATTAGATGTGACTATTTGTGAGAGCTTTTTACTATAGCAAAACTCAAATTTTAAACTCGAATCAGCGAAATGAATGGAGCCTTAGGTGTTGTGTGGTGTAAGGGTTTTGAACCCGAAACTATGATTTAGTTCATAACTAGTATTTGTTTATAAAAAGTAAAAAGTTATTCTGATTTGACTCATCTATAATCAGTGTTTGGTTATGATGGTTCTTATTTAAGCTTTGAACCCTAATGTGATGTTTTAAACCATAAATCACCCATGGTTCTAAAACCACCCCTAGTTCTAAAACCACCCCATTAGTTTTGAGTGGTTCAAACCCCTGATTCTGATTCTGGTTTTATAACTATGATTTGGACCTAAAATCATAAATCATGATTTTAATTTTAAAATCAAAACTAAAATCATTTTGATTTTAACCCTCGTACCAAATGAACCCTTAGATAGGAATATGTAAGAGAAGAAATTATTTCAATTGTAGAAAGAGAAAAAAAAATGTATAATAGGATAAAATAAGAATGGAAAAAAAAAGAGAGAAAAAGAGAGAAAAATAGTAGAAACTAAACAAAAATGTAGAAATTTAGGGAACGTTTAGTAAAGGGTTTTGTACCTTGATTTAAATCATGGTTCATGATTCGCTACAGTATTTTCTCTCACAAAAAATACACGTAAATCGAAAATGGTTCTAATCTCATGATTCTAATCCATGGACCAAACGTCGTTATAAGAATAATTATTTAGACAAGTCAAAAAGAAAAAAAAAACAGTGAATGAAGTAGATTTAAAACATATATATATATATAATTGAGAAAAACAGAAAATAAAAGGTTAAATTTGTTAATAAAAGAATTAAGGGAAAAACGAAATAAAGAGAGAACAAAAAATTTATAAAAAAAAAGTAAACCTAACGAAATCTTTCATGAGTCTTTGAGCTCCATTGAGAAACGGATTCACACTTGGCAACATTGTGTTAGAGGGATATGTTATCCACCTAGTAAATATCATGCTTGCTAGATAAATCTTATCTTATACTTTTTTTTTTTTGGTAACAAAATCTTATCGTATAGTTACTGAGTAATCAATCTAGTTTCTTTAATATTAAAATAAAATAAATGTATATATATATATGTACAAGCAAATTTATAAAATAAATTAAAAAGAAACATTAAATAGTAAAACGACTTTTGAAGTTTTTTATTTATAATATTTGACCTTTTACATTACATGCCCTATGTTTTAGGGAAAAAGTTATCGGTGTAAAAGTAAAAGAAGATTATTTTGTTAATTTTATTTTGGTAGCAAATTTCCCAAAATAAAAGATTAATTACAATCTATCAATAAAAATTGCACTAATATAAAAAAAAAACACACTATTATGAAAATTTGATCATATTTGTCTTTCTATTCCTTTTTCTAGAAAAAAATGTGCCTCTATTCTTGCTCCAAAATCAAACTCTTCTTGATTTTTTCTATTTTCATTAAATGGTAAAAAAAAAAACACATTATTAATATGGAAATTTGATAAAACTTAGATTCAAAAGCATTCACTTTTTAATTATTTTTTTTATTACGCGAAGGGTGACTCTCTCCCCCTTCTTTTATTTAATAAAAAAAATTACGTGATATAAGTATAATCAACTCTAAATAGTTTCTACTGATTGTTTGTATATTATTTCAATTAATTTGTGTATGCGTTTGGCTCAAAGTTTAGCTACGGAATTCATTTTGATTGATTATTGTGTTTGATGCCGTGAATAATTTTCCCCCTTAAAGCATTTAAAAGTTAACATCTGTAATTTTAAAGTTAGTAGTAAGGAAATTTATTTAGGGGAAAAATGTAGCAAGATTAGCTGCAATTCATTGCATTTTTTAGAAACAATAGGAAGAATACAAAAAGGACAAAAAAAAAAATATTAATAAACTTAAGTAAACCACCACGAGCTCTACTTACAAAATGCCTAGCAACATAATAAACAATAGAAGTACCTTTAGCCACCCAAGCGGATCATTAACAAAAAAAAAAAAAAAAAAAGTTATTAAACGAAAATTGTCCGAGGTTCATTCTAAAGCCCATGTTGATCCTTTGATTGTTAAAATGTGTGGAAGTTAGTCTATAATCTGTTTACTCTGGCTTAATTTCAGTCATTTTGTTAATTAAATGTTAAATATTTAATAGGATATGTAAAAATTAGATATCAAAATTGAAAATATCTAAAACTTAGGTACTATATGCAGAGATTAACTTTTGTTTTTTATATTATTTTAGTTTCTAAACTTTAAATATACTTGCTTTTAGTCCCTAATTTTTACATATTTCTTCAAATATTTAACACCTAATTAATAAACTAAAATTGAAAAAAGTAATAAATTAGGATTGATGGATGATGAGACATATTAAAAGTCAGATACTAAAATGAGATTAAAAGTAAACTCAATGTTATTTTCACAACTCAAGTCTCATTTTTTTCACAGTACTTTCTCCAAAAAAAATTAAAAGATTAAAAATATTTGGGTTTTCCATGATTTTTTAACTTTTCCGCCTAACAAACCGGTTAATTGCTTTTTAAGTTCCCATTATCGCTTTAAAAAATAAGTGGCTTCTGGTATTTACAAAAAAATAATAATAATAAAGCTAAGGGAGAAAGATGAAAATAGGTCAAGACTTGAGTTGAATTAAAATTAATAGGCCAATAGTTTACATAAATTAATAGATAGGCTAAATTACTATTTTTGACCATAACTTGTCTGGTTATGAACTATAATTTAACAAGTTATTATCCATAATTCACGATTTTTGTCTATAATTTGTCTGGCTATGAACCATAACTTGACAAGTTTATCCATAACTTATTTGGTTATAAACCATAACTTTACAAATTATGACATATTATTTTTTATAATTAAAAATTAGCCTATATACTTTCTTAAACTTTTTATATTAACCTAGTTTTTACTATTTCCGTACAGTCAATTATATATAATTCTCCACTTCGATGTTAATCCTCTACACATCTATACCGTAGCAGTGTTTCTTTGTCTTTGATTAGTGGTTTTTGAAAGGCATCAACGGTCAATAACAAGGCAAAGCCGTATATAAAAAGAACTGCGCAAAAATCGATTGTTTTTTTTTTAAATCATTGTTTACATTATCATGAATCATGTGGCCAGTCGCCATCTAATTTGTACTCGTTGGGGGAAAAGAAGAGAAAAACAAAGCACATGGTTCATTCAATTATTAAGAATTCTTTTAGGACTTTCTCTGTAAAGCTGGAGTCATTTGTTTATTGTTAGATTTAGTTAAAATTATATTAGATTAAAAAGTATGTAAAATAAATAGTTTTTAATGTAAATTTAATTGTTAAAAATAAAAAATTATAAATAATTCATTTTTCTAATTTTATCAAAAAAATTATCATTATTTTATAAATTTTTCTTGTTAAAGAAATTTGTGCACTTTCAAGAGTATACATTCTTATAGCTGTGGTTTTAATAATTTAGATTATACTTTTTTAGTTAATGCAAGGGTTTGCAATTGGAGCATTTTCCAACCTAACCTACAAATGTTGATAAACGTATAAAAATTGGAAGCCCTTAAGTTTCGAATTTTAAAATCATTCCACCATGCCATATGAACTTAAACTCTCACTTTACTCTTAAAATTTTGAATTAATCCAACTTAACTTATTTTATTAGAATTTCCATTAAAAATTGATGAAAGAGCGGGAGAGCTCTACACATAGTAAGTCCCTCTTCGAGTCTCTGCTGAATTCTGCTACTTAATTTGTTATGTTAGAAATTATGTTAAAAACAAACGAAAAAGAATCGTATGGTTTTACTTGAACCCCCTCTTTTTTGTATGTTTTTAATCAAAAATTCTAATAAAAAAAAAAGGATTAATTCAAAATTTAAGGAATAAAGTGATAGTTTTTAAAATTTAAGAGATAAAATAAAAATGACCTTATAATTAAGGGGACACATATAAGAATAATTCATAAAAGATTTATCATACACACACATTGTGAACGATGAAATTTTACTTTTTAATATATTGAATTTTGTTTTCAAACTCCAATGTTATGATAGATTGTAATATTATGATTTAAACTCCGTTCATTTTATCGATTCGAGTTTTGCTATAGTAAAAAATTTTTAGAAACAGACACATCTAACTTTTTTTGTTACAGTAAAAAGTTCTCACATAAAGTTACGTATTAACTCGAATTAACAACTCGAATCAGCAAACTAAACGGACCCTTAATTTACTGTCGAATTCAATTGGGTCGTAAGAATTTCATTAAATTGTTTTATGGTCTGGTCTAAAACTTTATTTTTTTTAAGGGAAACTGCAACATAAAATTACTCAGCTAAATGAGCCAAAACAGCTGAGGCTAAAAAAGAGAGAGTCTCAGTACACCAAGTAAAAATCGAGCGCTGAAAAATAGAATTAACCAAAAAAAATATCTCAAACCAATAATTTTAAGTTGGTGTGTGGCTCGACTATGCATTTGTGAAATTCAATCCGCGAACACCTTTATTTCTAACTATATTCATCATCTTTTCTAAATAAAATACTATTTTAAATAGGTTAGGACTCTTAGAGGTTGTTTAGTTGGAGGATTCGTTCACTGATTTGAATCATGATTCGTAGTTTGTTATAATATTTTTTCTCACAAAAAATACACGTAAATTAAAAATTATTCTAATCACATAGTTCTAATCCATGAACCAAACATCTCCTTACTTTTATAAGTGTATTACGGTCATCATCTTCCTTGTCAAAAAGGCGCGTGACAATGAAGATAATTTGAGTATGTGACCTTATGTGAGAGCTTTTTACTATAATAAAAAAGTTAGATGTTTTAATTTTGTATAATTTTTTATTATAATAAAACTCAAATTTTAAACTCAAATCAGTAAAATAAACGGGAGTATGCATCAACCATACTCAAGTCTCTTATCAAATTTCGAATAAGGTCTGTAGGCCATCATCTTGACAGATTAAGACAACAAGTTATGCATTCCCAGTGGCACACATAATTGTCTGTCATATCAATCTTTTTTGTTATTCAAAATTTTGATCACATGCACGACAAGTTGCTTGTTATAACCAATATCTTCAAATAAATGCAAGAGAATTTTCAGAACTATTTGAAGAAAATTTAGCCCATTCTGACCTTTCTTTTCTTGTTTTTTTTTTTTTTGGGGGCAAGACCCTTTTCACAATTTGATTAAGTTTGTTCCTCATATATTTCAGTGAAAACGTGGAATCAAACACCAAACTTTTCGTCAAAGAAACTTCTAGTTAAATGAGTGTTTAATACGTAAAGGAGATTCTGTTTTGCCTCTCAAGGGGTCTTTCAGCACTGCTCATAAAAAATAATGCATATCATATCATTGCTTTCTATAAAACAATTATTATTTCATGTATTATAAAAAAAGAAATGCCATTTTTGATAAACGTTATTTGGTTGTATGTGCAAAGTATTGCAATTATTAATAAATCTCGGGCTTAAGTGAAAGCGAAAGAAACCATACAAGAAAAGTAAAATATACTTTGCATAGTATAATTAGAATGTTGCAAACTATTAGAATTATTTATGGTCGTTCCAAGTAGTGAAGTATGATTCATCATTCATGGTTAGACTAATTAGTTGGATTATTGGAAAGAAATATTGTATAGAAATGATGATTTAGGTTTCCTCTTAGATTATAATGTAATTAATTCACCAATGTTAGGTATTTTAGTTGGCAATATATTATAAAAATACTGATAATTTAATTTTTTTTTATGGATTATGATTATGTTTATCATGTAAGAATTGAGAATTGATTATTTTTAAGCAGCTAATCGACGGTTGGTATTTTCAATGACTAAAAAAATATTTTTAGTCGAACAATATTAAATTAAAATATTTTTAGGCGGCAAATCAATGGTAGTCACTGGAGACATCTAAGATCAACGCAGCAATCATCTTCGCCTGGTCAAATCCGATTATATCCGGTCCTTGCTTGAGCAAATTTGATACATATTTGATCAATTTCATTTGTTTATCATCTAGGTCAGGTTTATCACTTATAGATTATGACTTATCACTGGTAGACCGTGATATATCATCGATAGACTAAGGTTAATCACTAATAGACTACGGTTTATCACTTATTGACTAAGATTTATCTTTGATTAACTAAGGTATATCACTGATGGAGGTTAGTTTTGTCTTTTGATTTTATAATAAATTAAAAAGGGTCATTTAACTAATTTAGTTAAAGTTCAACCATTTTCTTTAAACAACCCTTTAAATAGGCCATTTACCTTTAAATCCCTAATAACAAATGATTATATGCTTGTAAATTGGAGTTGTTTGAAATAAAATCCTTGACTACATGAGACTTGTCTTGTATCCTTAATTTTTTCTTTGAGTTTCGGCCACCTTAAAAAAACCATGTGAAAATGAGAATTAATGGTAAAGGATTGTTATATAGACTCATAAACTGTGTAGTCATATAAAATGCAGTTGGATTTTTGTTTTTAAAAGAGTAACGTAGATCGTTCTAGCTCAGTTAAGGATCGGCCTTATTCTTTTGACAACTCAAACTCTTTTGTTATAATATTTTTTTTATAAAAATATAAATTTAACCTTTTTACAACAATGTTTTCTCTCATATAAAAAATTTAAATTGTGATTTCAACTATAAAAAGAACGCACAAGATTTCAAGGAATTAAAGATGTGAGTTTCTGTTCAAAAGCTAAAATATATTGTTTGGTTTGAGAATTCTTAGAGAAGGATAAGGTCTAAGAATTCTCAACCTAAACAATATATTTTAACTTTGAATAGAAATTCATATTTTTTTTAAAGAAAACACTGCATCACAAAACATTATAGTAGACAAACGTCAATATGTAAAAAAGAAAAAAAAAATAAGGGCATAAATCTTATAGTATTTAAGAAAGGTACAATGAATGTTTAAATCATAAATATTTTCCTTTTAACTCACATCTTTAGTTTCAATCCTTTTTTCTTAGAAGTATCCACTCTTAAGTTAATCTGTATCTGTACATATTACTATCTCTCAAAACGTATACTGTAGCAGAGTTAAGAGTATTTCTATGCGTTCACAACGAAAAGATGAATAAAACCTCACTTATATACCCTATTAAAATTTTTCATCAGCATTGAGTTTTTATTAAAATACTATCTAAATACAAATTCAAGTTTTGACTCACTCAAACACAAACTAAAAAAGATTCTTATCTCAAACCATAACTCAAATGTACACAACCAAACACACACTCAAGTTACAACTTCAACTCAAGTTATAACTCAAACTCAACTCAAAATCTACACTCAAGTCACCTAACTCAAAAAAGGCAAAAAAACAACCCCATTTATTTGCGAACAAGGCATTATTCTAGATTTTTCAGAGTGAGAGATTTTTACATTCATCCCTCAAAATAGATCACCAAACAATTATTAACCCCTACGCATTAACCATTTTATTTCTACCCCTTTAGAAAGTCCAATTAAAGGACCAATACGTAAATTACTAAAATACCCTCAAAAGTATTTACAAGATGTTAGTTGTCTCTGATAACCGACCGACGACAGAGTCTCCGACAAAACTCCGCCGACTGTCCAATGTGTCTCTGACGGCTCTTTGACTATACAATGTCAGACTATGACCCATAGTCTGACAAGTTACGCCGGAGCCAACCATAATCTGTCAAACTATGACCCATAATCTGACAACTTACGCCAGAGTCAGCCAGAGTTTTTTCAGACTATGATCTATAATCTATTAAGACTATGACCCATAGTCTCTCATATTATGATCCATAAACTGTCAAACTATGACCCAAAATCTAACAGGTTATGACCCGCAGCCTACCAAGCTTTGACACGTAGTCTGTTAGGTTACGCCGGTTGGCGGGTTTCCGATCTCCGGCTGGTCATAGTCTGTCAGACTATGATTCATAGTCTGACAAATTACGCCAGACAGTAGGTCTTTAGTCACCTGCACGGTCATATTCTGGCGGACTATGATCTATAGTCTGACAGATTATTTATCCTAAAACCAACATCAAATATTATCAAATTATAAAAATAAAACAAAATTACTCTTACAAATTACACACATTCTATGCTGAAACAACATATTACTAGAAATTTATTTCACGAACTAAAAAACAAAACTCCAGCAGTAAGTTTCTTGCAGAACACGTGGGGCTGTTGTTGGCTTCCAGTGGCTTCAATATTCTCTTCACAAACATCAACTTCTTCTTCCTGCAATTTTAACATATCTTCACAAACTAAAACCAAGGTCCAAATAAATTAAGGGATGCAATTCTTCAAACTTTAGAAATCAAATAAAAAATTAAACCTACAAAAGAAAACCACAAAAAGAGAACAACTCTTAACAATTTGGGATTTTTATGCATTAGTTGCATAAGAGTAGCCACAATAATCAAACTCAAAATTGAAAAGTTTTCAGGAAAATAAAATTACAGATACATTTCAAAAGTCTTGGAACATATCGTGATAAATAATACAATCACTAGACAAACCTCAACAAGGGAGCTAGAATAAATAATACAACCTAGAATCATATGTGAAATATAGATTTACAATATATACATATGTGCCACTTGATCCAATAAACTCCTAACAGAAAGCTAGATATATACACAAATGGATGCAATGAGATTGAGTCAAATCAATGCCACACACATACCACGGTCCCGTTGATAGTCTTGTGAACTAGTTCTTTCGATATGGCATGAACCTGGAATCATGAAATAACAACAAATAGCTTAAAACCTGTGTATAAAGAAAATTCAGCTACATTTTTGCTTAGAGTTTCATAACAAATTCCATCATGTACCAATTCACCAACTTTTTGCCAGTGTGCAAGGTCCAAGCCACCCCTCATTTTTGCTTAGAGTTTCATGACAAATTCCATTATCATCTCATTTTGCAAGCCTATGTATTACTACAATGATGCCTATAGAAATTTTATACATGAACGATTTATCTTAAGCAAATAGAATACTTCAAAAGAGGATGCATTATTTAAAAAACTATATTAGTGAGTGACAATTCACGAGCCAACAAACATGGAACTTTAGGAGGACTAACTATTGCTTAGTTCTAGTTAGTAGCATCAAATATGGCAACGATTCAAAATAAACTAAGAAACAAAATATAAAAAAAAAAAAAAGGCAAATCAACCTAGATTTAGCTTGAAGATAAAAAAAGTTATGAAAAACCTGTAAACCTCAACTGGAACAAAAAGTATATCTCAATCAAACAGAAATCATATAGATCAGTTCATAATAAATAGAAAATCACTGAACATAATACTTATCACAAATCTCAATCGGACGAAAAGACAGCACAAGTAAAGAACTGTGCATTCTGAATGTTACTAATGAGTCTTATCTACGGATTTGAATGTTAACAAGAGCACAAATCAATATCAAAAAACAGATTATCAACACCAACTTTATGTAATTACACATAAATTTCATTTAGAAACTACAAAAAACTAACAGAATAAACACTAAAAACAACAAAAGGCAAATCTCAATAGTGGCAGCAGACCTTGTCGAACCTCAGTGCACAAAAAATAAATTGTAATCAAACATAGATTCAGACTTCAGAGATCATAAAACAAATCAAAACCACAAAAGAACTCATATCTGAATCAACTAATCCAAACAACAATATCTCATATCCACGCCATAGTATCATATAGACCCCAAGATTTAAAAAAAAAAAAAAAAAAAAAACTAAGCTGATATATTTACAAGCAAATGAACAAAAAGATCCTCAACAAATTCGAATAAATGAACACAAAATCATAAAAATCACAACTATTCGTGTATGTACCTCGACCGAAATGACGGAGCCCGTAGTCTACCCACACAACCGCGAAGATAACACAGGAGAGAACCATAGAATCTTCGCGAAGGCGAGTGACGAAGAACCTTCCAAGACTGTTCAGTTCGCGACGACGAGCGAAAAAGAACCATTACCGACACCATCGATGTCCGACGGCGAGCGAGGAGGAGCCTCCCGATGCCGTCTGATTTGCGATGGCGAGAGAAGCAGATCCGCCGAGAATGCGAGAACGAGAAAGATCCGCCGATCTCACGACGTTGAACTAGATCTCACGGCCACGTTTCCCCTCGCGACAGCGACAACGTAGAAAGGAAAGATGAGAGAGAGGGGCGACGACTCAAGCGGCATGCGCTCCAACGAGGTTCGGTCGCCGTCCACATCGCAGAGAGAGAAGGCAGAGGAAGAGGGAAAAAGAGACATCAGAAGAGAGAGATGCTCCGGCGACATTCGGCCATGGCCGCCAGTCGCGAACGCCGACAGAGAGGAGAGAGAAGAGGAAGCGGCGACAGATAGAGAGAGAAACGAGGGGTTGACGGGAGAGAGAGGGGGAGAGACACGTGACTTTCCGTGAGAATTTTTTACTCTAATAAAAAAGTTAGATGTGATTATTTCTGAGAGTTTTTTATTATAATAAAACTTAAATTTTAAACTCAAATCGGTAAAATGAACAGAGCCTACCGGTGACAATTCGTGTTAGTGACTAATAAATGCACGAATTTGCACTTTTAATGTTCATAATTGTCAAACTATTTTATCAATTTTGTAATTTTAATTTCAAATATTCTTAAATTTAGAGGATTTAATTTTAATTGGATTTATTTTATTTTTCAGGTTTTTGAAGAAAACAATTGGATTTTGGCTAGTTTACCAAGCAAAACCCAAAGGTTGAGCCCAAGAAAAGCCCAATTCGGCCCAAAGCCCATCAGCCCATCATCCAGCCGAGCCGAGCCGAGAGCCGCGAGCCGAGCCAAGAAGCCGCGAGCCAACCCAGCTGACACGTGTCAATCACTGCCGCACCGCAGGCCGTGGAACCCAGCTGTCCCCTCGCAGACGCGCGCCTGGCGCGCACCGCCCGCTCTCTGCGCGAGTTCTCCTCACGCGCGTGTCAGGCCTGCTTCCTCTCTCTTCCGCGTGGGTCCCGCGTGCTAGTGCCCCTCCAGCCAGGTCTCGCCACGTGTCCCACTGTTCCCCCACATACGCGCGTTTCCCGCGCACGCTCCCTCTCCGCGCGAGTTTCCCTCCCGCGTGCGTCCAGTTCTCTTCCACGTGGGCCAGTTGTGTACCACTTCTTCTCCCGCGCACGAATCATTTGGCAACACGTGTCCCACTCGTCAGAAACGTGATGATTTTTCTACCTCGATTAAGCATCCGATTTGTATATTTTTAGCATATTCAAACTCTATAAATAGGATCATTATCTAAGTGATAGGAGTTAGAATTTTTAGAGCAAAAATTCTCACATATTTTCTTGTTCTTATTCTCATACTTTCTTTTTAGAATTTTATGGGAATTATGTGCAAGTTAGGCTAGAGTATTTAGGTGAGGCTAGAGATGATCCTATATGT